GACTCGGGGACGAGACTCGGGGACGAGACTCGGGGACGAGACTCGGGGAGGGGACTCGGGGACGAGACTCGGGGAGGGGACTCGGGGACGAGACTCGGGGACGCGACTCGGGGACGCGACTCGGGGACGAGACTCGGGGACGAGACTCGGGGACGCGACTCGGGGACGAGACTCGGGGACGAGACTCGGGGACGAGACTCGGGGACGCGACTCTGAGAGGGGACTCTGAGAGGGGACTGGGGGACGAGACTCGGGGACGAGACTCGGGGAGGGGACTCTCGGGCTGTCCTCTCGGGCTCTCCGCGGGGCGCGGCGCGCGCGAGACACTCGGATCACGATCCGAGTGGTCTTGGGATCGTGAACTCGGGGTCTTCCCCCCTCCCCCCCCTCCGCCCTTGCCTCCTCCTCCTCCTCCTCCTCCTCCTCCTCCTCCTCCTCCTCCTCCTCCTCCTCCTCCTCCTCCTCCTCCTCCTGCTCCTGCTCCTGCTCCTGGGAGGGAGGAGGGGAGGGCGGGGGGGGCCGGAGGGCGGCCAAGGAGGGGGGGCGGAGGCGAGGAGGGAGCTCCGGGGGGCGGGGAGAGGCGGGCGGGGAGAGAGGTAGGGCGAACAGGTCGGAGGGGGGAGGTGAGCAGGAGTCCGGGGTCGGGGTGGGGGCGGCGAGCAGCGAACGCCAGCTGGAGAGGGGACGGGAGGGAGAGGCGGGGTGTGCCCCCAGGGAGGCCCTTTGGTCTCCGCGGGCGCCTCAGGGCCAGGCCCTCCGCGATGGCGGACTTGCCCACCCCGGGCTCGCCGATCAGCACCGGGTTGTTCTTCTGGCGCCTCGCCAGGATCTGGAGCGGCCCTTTTTGCGAGGCTCTCCCGCCTGTGGTCGGCGCCCCCGCCAGATCCGATGCTCCTCAGAGGTGTGTGCTGGCGCCAACGTTCGCTTGTCCACCGAAGCCCTCCACGACGACGCAGCCGACGTGACGAGGTCCGAACGGGGTAAGCACACGTTCGGTAATGTCGGGCATGTCCTCCCACAGGCAGGTTTGGGACGAAACATAAAACATAGTCCTAAGAATCTTCCTCCTGTAGAGGGACGTGCCCGACTTACACGTGCTCCTGTATCGGGCCGGGCGACAGGGGGGATAGCAAGCAGGGGTTTGAGAATCAGCTCACGTAGCTGATTTTCCCGGCGCCTCCCGGCGCCAGAGGCGGCCATGCATCGAGGAATGGGTCCCTCGGTGGGGCCGAAACCGGCTGCTGCGTGCAGCAGATTTCGTACCCCCCCCTTACCCTATCCCCCCCTTTCGTTCGGCCCGACTGTAGCTGGGCATCGCTCGGACGTCCATTCCCTGTGTTTTGTTCGGTTTCGTGCGTGGCTTCTTGGCCAAATCATCAAAGATGCTCCTCGATGGCCCTCGCCGAAGGAAAAATGCACACGTCCGAGCGATGCCGAGGTAGAGGGACGTCCTGGGGAGCATCGAGAGATCTCTGGCGCGGCCCGCAGGGCACGCGCGGCGCGAGAGAACTGCTGCTCGGCGCGTCGCCGCGGCGCTCCTCCGGGGGGCGCCGCTGTGCCGTGCAGGCGCTCCTCCGCGGCGCCGCTCCCCTCTAGCAGGGCGGGGGGCCGGGGGAGAGGCTCAGGACGTCGACGCCCGGGAGCGAGAGGGTGGGCAGCATCAGGTTCAGGTCGGGCCTGTCCCCCTACAGGGGGATTTTGGAGGAAACATCAAAAAGGCATTCGACAAATATGCAAAGGACGCCCGAAAATGCTCCAAAGGTAGTCCCCAGACTATTTTTGGACTGTTTTTGGAGGGACAGGCCCGACTTAACATTAGGTGGGGCATGCCCTCCTACAGGCGGATCTTGGGCGAACAAATGAGGAGTACCTTAAAGATTGCCCCCCAAAAAAATCACAGATGGTCGAAAAAGTCGTCCCCAGACGATTCTTCGACCAGTTTTGGATATTCCCCCTTGCAGAGGGACACGCCCGACTTCAGCACAGCGTCTCGCACCGAAAAGTGTGGCAGGCCAGAACCGGCCGGCGGCGCGACGCGCCGAGCCGGAGGTTTCCCCACGGCAGCCGTCGCCTCGCTCCCGGCGCTCACGCGGAGGGAAGCGGGGGGGGAGAGGAGGAGGAGGAGGAGGAGGAGGAGGAGGAGGAGGAGGAGGAGGAGGAGGAGGAGGAGGAGGAGGGTCAGGTCGCACGGCTTTCTGACTGCCTACCAGACCACCCCAACCCAACCCGAAGACCCGAATTTGACCCAAATTTCAGGTTGGGGGGGGTACGGGCTCCATGTGATTTTTCAACGTTCCCCGACCCCCTCCCACTGGAAATGGAGGGCAAATTGAGGCCTTCGGGTTGGGTTGGGGTGGTTTGGTAGGTGGTGACTTTCTGGACGTTCCATTTCTCTGTGTGTTTTGTTACCTCCAGTGGGCCTTCGGCCGATCCAGCCAGTCACCCAAAAGAGGGCCCACAGCGCCGCCGGAAGTGCCCAGAACGTGTTTTTGTGCCCCCAAGACGACTCCAAGATGGCCTCCAAGACTGCTGAGATGGCCTCCAAGGCGGCCAAGATGGCCCGAAAAGAACCCAAGATAGGCATGTCCTCCTACAGCCGAAGCTGGGACGGAAAAAAACAACAAATGATCAAAAAAACAATCCACAAATCGTCCCCCGACTTTTTTGTCACTAGTTTGGCACCTTCCTCCTGTAGAGGGACAGGCCCGACTGAAGACGATGGCGAGAGAGCGAACACGCAACCATCACCTCACACGTCGTCGGACCCCCACCTGTTCTCGCGGTGAAGAGAGCACGACAGACCTCTCGAGAAAACACGTCGTGGGACCCCAGACCTCCAGCGTCTTGAGACACTCGAGGCGGAGGTGTCTCACAAGTCTCGGCCTCTGGAGGCCCTCACGGAACCCCAGGCCCGTCAAAAATAGCTCGGGATAGAAAACCGGTCCCAGAGAGGAGGCCTGGACCTTTGGGTACGACAGATCCATACACGAAGCCAATGTGCGAAGAACGATCTTGGGAAGTCGGCAGGCTGTCCTGCCGCCGGGCCGTCCTTTCGGAGACGAAGTTTCGAGGTTTTCAGTCCTGAGGTGTTCGGGCGCTTTCGTCGGTTCTCAGCCGCATTCCAGCCTCAGACGCCTTCCAGCGGCTGCGCCTCGCCGAGAGCGTCCAGGGGTGGTGCCCGCATCTTCGGCTACCGGGCCCCTGTCGGCGATGAATGTGATGGGCGAATTTTCCACAACCTCTGCCATATGTAGGACGGGGGAGACCTCCTCCTCCTCATCCTCCTCCTGCAAATGTCCGCTGGCTCGATCAACAAGTGCACCGCATTCGCCAGATGGCTCTTCCTCTCCTCTTCTCATTCTATATTTGCTGGTCTCCACTAGTCTGGGGCTGCGATGTGTCATCATCATCATCATCATCATCATCATCATCATCTTCACACTTCAAGTTTGAGGGGGGGGGGGGGGGTGGGGGGGGGGGGGGGGGGGGGGTAGGGAGGGGGGGGGGGGGGGGGGGGGGGGGGGGGGGGGGGGGGGGGGGGTGTGGTGGGGGGGGGTGGGGTGGGGGGGGGGGAAAATAAAGTTAACTACGGCACCGAAAAGCATTACTAAAATATCTACCAATCGAAAGGCTACCGTCTATCAGCAAAATAAAAAGGTTCAACAACACCACACAACCAACAAGCAAATAATCAGCAACAGCATCAGCAATCACATACCAGTACCAATACAGCATAACAGAAACAGCATCAGCAATCAGCATCATCCATTCAATCAACATCAATCATCATCATCATCATCATCACATCAACAATCACCATCATCATCATCATCAAACATCATCATCATCATCATCATCATCCATCATCATCATCTCATCATCATCATCATCATCATCATCATCATCATCATCCTGCTCCTCCTCCTCCTCCTCCTTCTCCTCCTCCTCCTCCTCCTCCTCCTCCTCCTTCTCCTACTGGCCTCTCCTGCCTATGGCAGTGGTGGTGGAATATGGGCCCATCAGAATGGGCGGCTGGAGGTCGGCGCATTCGACGTTGCCCTCGAGGGTGCGGGCGCGAGGCGGCTCCTGGTCGGGGGGCGAGGCGCGGGGGGCAAACCGTCGCGCCCACCACAAGGGATGACTCCCGAGTGGTGGGTCCAGTTCATAGGAGCCTCCCGCAGGGCGCCATTGCACAAGGGGGGCGAGGCGCAGGCGAGAGGCAGAGCCGGGCGGTGAAGCTGGCAACCGGCCGGAGCGCGGCAGCGGAGCGCTCGACTCGACGAGGGGCTCTCGAAGGGCGGGAGGCCACGGAGAAGGCGTACGCGCCCAGCCGCGCACACGAGTGCGGCCCCTCAGGCCGCGAGGCCTCGCGCTTCGAGCGCTCGCACAGCGCACGGTCTCGGCACGCGGCGCAGCTCCTCCTCCCTCCCTCCCTCCCTCCCTCCCTCCCTCCCTCCCTCCTCCTCCTCCTCCTCCTCCTCCTCCTCCTCCTCCGCCTCCTCCTCCTCCGCCTCCTGACTCTGCCCTCAAGGCGGCCGCTTCGGACAAGCCGGGCACCGCCATGTACACGTTGAGTGTTGCGCCGGTCTCAGCTCTGTTCTGGTGTATCGAAACGAGCGCACCCCGCCAAACACTAAGGGAACTGGCGTTCGGGGCGTGCCAAATCAAGCCTGTATACTTTCCGGTGGCGTTGTGTCAATGTTTGGAGTCTGGGCCCAGCCCATACGAGCTGGCAAACTCGGCCACGGGTGTGACCGCGATGTGAGCCACTGGCTGCATATAGCTTGAGCGATGCGCGCGCGCGTCTCGCTGCAAGCGCGATGCGGCGCACAACGCGAGGGCCACTTCAGCGATCGGAGCATCAACGTACGTGTACAGCAACTACACGCACGTTTTTGTTTGGTCGTGTCTCTCCTGAGAAAGGGGGGAGGAAGCAACTACTGGAGGTCTTCGTCGGAAGAATTACGGAGGTTTGAGCCCATTGGGGGGCTGTTACGCCGGAGTGGGCCTCGGAGTAAGCGGGATTAAGCCGGATAGAGCGGGATTCAGCCGGATTAAGCCGGTATGAAGCGGGATGAAGCCGGATTAAACTGGATTTCGGACCAGGGCAAGTGGTTCGAGGACGGGAAGGGGAGGGCGCGGGAGGAGGAGGGGAGGAAAAGGGAGGGTGTGGAGGAGGAGGGAGGAGGAGAGGAGGAGGAGAGAGGAGGAGGAGTGCGAAGGCGGGGACAAAGAGGGAGGGAGGAGGAGAGGCGGCGACGCGCCCAGCGCTGCCGAACGTCACCCTCACGCACGGCCGAGCGAGGGGCGCGCCGGGCGGCTGGAGAAAAAAAAAAAACAAAATCTATAGAATGAGGGGAAACCCGGAAACACCAAAATCTAATGAAAAAAAAAAAAAACAACAAATAAGAAAAAAACAAAGTACCTAAAATAAAAGGCAAATGCGGAACCCGGAGTGCTGGCGGGCCGGCCTGTCAGCCCGTGCCGTGACGCCCTGGGCGCTGGCGACGGCGGTCGAAGCCGCCTTACGTTCGATACTCCTCCTCCTCCTCCACCTCCTTCTCCTCCTCCTCCTCCATCCTTCTCCTCCTCTCCTCCTCCTTCATCCTCCGCCTCCTTCCTCCTCCATCCCTCCTCCTCCTCCTACTCCTCCTCCCCTCCTTCTCCTCCACCTCCTCCTCCTTCTCCTCCTCCTCCTCCTCCTTCTCCTCCTCCTCCTCCTCCTTCTCCTCCTCCTCCTCGAGGAGAAGGAGGAGGATCGGCGGCTTTTCGATCGGCTGATCGTGCCATGTTGAACACTTCCGGGCCACTAGCGGCGTTCGACCCGGAAGGATCGGCGCCTCTTCGATCGGCTGATCGTGCCATGTTGGACAATTCTGGGCCACTGGCGGCGTTCGACCCGGAAGGATCGGCGGCTCTTCGATCGGCTGATCGTGCCATGCTGGACAATTCCGGGGCACTGGCGGCGTTCGACCCGGAAGGATCGGCGGCTCTTCGATCGGCTGTTCGTTCCATGTTGGACAATTCTGGGCCACTGGCGGCGTTCAACCTTGAACGATCGGCGGCTCTTCGATCGGCTGATCGTTCCATGTTGGACACTTCTGGGC